CACGTACACGGAGGGACAGACGATCACCGTGCGCGTCGACATCACCAGCAACCACCGCGGCCACTTCGAGTTCCGCATCTGCCCCAACAACAACCCGAGCGTCGAGGCGTCTCAGACCTGCCTCAACAAGTGAGTTTCTGTTTTGGAATATTTTTTATGTATTTATTTATTGATTTGGTTAGATACTGGTATGTCTGAAGTTCAGTTTTATATAGAACAATATAAGATGTCTTTGATCCTGAGTGATCATCTCTTTGGTGCGTTATAGTGTTTTTATTAGTATTTGTGTATTGTTCTTATTACAACGTCTTTTCAACAGGTATACACCGTGTTTCCATTTCATACGATTATATATACGCACCAGTAATGGAAGTACAATAATAATAAAATGAAAGGGAATAAAAAGAAATATACATTATGAGGGGTAGTTAATAGAATTCTGTAATAACCTTACTTTTCAGTTTTCAGAAGGCTTATAGGTCCATTGAATCACTTTTAAACACGAAGACATTCCTAAATACACGCATTTGCAAGAAATTTGAGAGAAATAAAATTCCTACGCTGAAGGCTTACACTCTACGGTCGCACAACACTAAATTTCACATGTTAGCCAGGGTGGTAAATAAACTTACTTAACTTATTTTCCTTGCCTGTTTCCTGTTGTCGACTTTCTGTAAGGAACATTATTTTCATTCCTGCCAAGCCGGACGTTTAAGAAAGACAGGCCTAAGCACAGAACCTCCAGAACCGAGTAATATACTCCAGCCCATCGTGATCTGCTGCGGAAAGTACATACCTGCACTGACAAGACCCACTTAATGGAAACGTCGGTATTCCTGGCAGCGAACGGACCACACCCTCAGCATTCTTTGTGATTCTTTGGAACACACCACGAAGGACGAACGATCTGAGATGCACAGGAACACGTCTGCTCGCATCTTACTGTGGTCCGTGGACAATAAGCCTTATGACACCGTGCGAGTAAAGAGCACACTTCTAAGACAGTTTGATACAGCGTTCTCAAGGTCACCCTCACCCTCGGTGCCATGTTCCAGAAGAAGAAAAGGCCCGTTGTACTCGTTGCAGATAACACGTCCCTTTCTCATCTCTGAGAATAATTTAAAACTATATGTTCAGATTTTATCCGAGTAGACATCAAATCTCCCATTAGCAACTGAATCCATTCAATAACTTGCATTGAGGCTATACAGTGCCATTGCCTTAAGATCACGCATTGATGTTACATGTCTTCATCTTCCCAAAACACAAAACGGTGAATTGAACCAAATAATTTATGTACTAGACAGTGCATCCCCTTGGTGCGCAAAGAACATTCAAGTAACACACATGACCTCACCCTCAAAAAAAAAAAAAAAAAAAAAAAAAATATATAATAAAAATAATAATAATAAAAATAAATAAATAGAAATGAAATTAATAACCAAATAAGTAAAACCATGCAATCACAATCATATCACAAAGTGCATGTGCTTATTCTGCCTCGTTTTCCCCCCAGCCACCCTCTGTTCAAGGCCGACGGTTCAGGCTTCGAGCACAAGATCAGCACCCACAACGGAGAGCATGCGGTGCGGCTAAAACTACCGCGGGGTCTGACGTGTACCCAGTGTGTCATGCAGGTACGGCAGGGTGTCGCTGTCCTTTCTGGCTGTAAGGGAGATAACCAGTGGAACAATGCTTGAAGATGCGGTTTGAAGATTTCTCCAGCGAATCATATAGTTAATTAATGTAATCTGTTATATTTGCAAGTAAACAATATCTGCTTTTCGACAGTGGCGTTACGTGGCAGGAAACAACTGGGGCTACTGCGAGGACGGCAGCGGGGCGGTCGGGTGCGGACCCCAAGAGGAGTTCCGCGCATGCGCTGACGTGGCGGTGGTTGCGCAGCCAACATGGTAAATTTAATATAATATATAATGAGCATGCAATATATATATATATATATATATATATATATATATTATATATATGTGTGTGTGTGTGTGTGTGTGTGTGTGTGTGTGTGTGTGTGTGTGTGTGTGTGTGTGTGGTGTGTATGCACATATAAATATACATATATATAAATGTAAATAAATAATATATATGTATATATGCATATATATATATATATACATATATATAATATAAATATATATGTAATTAAATACAGACACACGTACATATATATATATATATATATATATATATTATATATATATATATATATATATATATATATATATATATATGATGTGTGTGTGTGTGTGTGTGTGTGTGTGTGTGTGTGTGTGTGTGTGTGTGTGTGTGTGTGTGTGTGTGTGTGTGTGTGTGTGTGTGTCCGCCCCCGACCCTTCTCACGAGCGCCATGCTTCGCAGGACCAGCGAGGGCTTCACGGCGAACGCGAGCACCGAGGTCAGCGAGTCGGTGACGAGCAGCTACACCTGGTACTCCACGCCCGACCCGATCACGCTGAGCCCGACAGAGAAGCCGCCCCCGCCGCCCACAACGACCACGCGTACCACTACCCGGCGCCCAACGTCCACCAGAAGGACCACCAGACCGACCACGAGAAGGACCACGACCCCGAGGCCAACTACGACGCCTGCTCAGCTCAAGTCCACGCCCGCGCATAATAGTTGCCGAGCCGTGGGTGCCTGGAAGGACGTGCCCGGAATGGACGATTGGTGCGTCAGGAACTGCCTGCACACGCCGCCGTTCTGCCCCGCCTCCCACTGCACGTGCGACTAACGACCCTTTCGCCAGCGGGTCGTTAGGGCGGCGAGGCGGGAAACCCTCAACGGGCGGGGGGGAGGCTTCACTAGTCAGGGACGCAGGGGAAGGCGCCGACGTCGCCAGGGAAGGGCCAGCGGGGAGGCTCTCGCTCGCCATTCTGGGAACTCTCGCAGCCATCAGTGAGGCTAAACGTGTTGAAATCATGTCTGGAACCGCGACTCCATTTGCCATGTCACCCCGAGGAAATAAGCGTGTTTTTGAGTTCAAGATGGTATTTGGAGACTGTGAACTGTGTGCCATGGTTATGAATCTTCTAAATGCCAGTTATGCTTTTCTTGATTACTATATTGTACCTTTTAAGCACTTTCATTGTTTTGCTTTACGTTTGACTGCAGGGACATATTTCTTTTATCCGAATATATGCTTGAATGTGTTAATTTATATAAGTTAGTGTGTGATTATTTATTTTGGGTTAGTGCAATTCGTTTGCAGTCAAAGAAGTCAAAGAAGTGTAGGCCTATACATTCACCACGTGGCGTCGCGTGTCTTTGATCTTGCGTGCTTCCCTAAAGCATCAGATATATTCCAGTACGATCAAACTGATAAATTATCCTACATATCTCAAAACCCATAGCTTTGATGTATTATCGTATATTAAATGTAGAAATAAATTATAAATTATGCATGTTAAATTTACGCGGTTTATACATACGATTATCAAACTTGTACTGATTGTACTGGTTACAGGTATTGGTAACATCATTTTATTTGAATTTTATGAAATCATTAAGGATACACGTATTTAATAGTAGCAGACGAAGACAGCGCAGCGCGAATCATGGAAAACGCCCTATTTATGCCATACAGTGAACAATGTCTGTTCTTGGATAAGCGATTCATCCTAAAAGCGCGATTGTATAAGGAAACAAGTGAATTATACCTTGCTTTTCAATTGGCGTTTGAAAGTAAAAGGAAACTGAATCCTTTTAGCGTTTAAAGGGATTGGAAACCACTAACAATGTAAGCGGCTTGGATACCTTCCTCAAAAGCTTCTCCAGAAAGGGAATCTATTTATTATCACGTTATATAAATATTTACTTTTATTACATAAAAGTGTCCGTTTCCAAAAAAGGATATCAGCTGCGGTGATTCATCACAAACATAAGTTTGTTGACATTAAAGAAAGAAAAAAGTAAATCAGAATGACAATTGCTGCTTTTCCAAATACAATTTTTAAACCTGCAAACCGGATTCTCGAAATTCCTCCTGCAAAACTTCTGTTACGGCAAAACTCGTTAATCCAGACTATTAAACTTGTAATTCGGTTTTGATCATCCGAAAGTGAGAGCCAGTCTGCAAAGTACGCGAGTTGTTGACAAGCCTCCGTAGCCAGTGTTGAATTTAGGTTCAAATATTTATTTTATGTGTACTACCCTCTATTTATACCGAGTGAATTTTTACTGTTATCTGCACTGTTTGTTTGAGCAAAGTAAAATATTAAAACACCTCTTTTATTATCCTTCCTCTTTGCTATATGGTTGACAAGAAATAAAAAAATAAAAAAATACATATCATACGTGTGTGCTTCTATGCGATAGAAGTACAACAAATGGCAAAAAAAGGAAAAGATGATATCCAACAAATGAAATTCTGTGCTACTTTACTGTTAGAATGAAATTTTCTGATCAGTCCACTACCTTAACTTTGGTCTGCTCATGATGACTGATGTTGCATTGACCATTTCTTTTTTTTCTAGAACTCGTGTCTTACAATTATCATATACGTAGTTTTCATCTGATCGAGAAATAGCGGAAAATCTTTATACTTATACAAGTCTATGGTATATTTGTGGAATTGAGTTCTGAGATCACTCCAGCTTACTTCTTCCCAACCAACAAAATAGGAGAAACGGAACGGAGTGAGCATATGAGCATAAGTATTCTTGTCGAAGTATTCGTCGTAATGTACCACAGCGAAAAAAGTAAAACATTCCGATTTAATTCAGTTAACAAGAAAATGCTTTATAGTGACCATGTCTTGCGATTTGACCTTAATGTTGTGGTTATTATGTCAGAGTTGTGGTCATAATTCAATGCCTAACTTTTTAAATCAAAGGTAGACATAGGCCTATATGAATATGCATAAGAATATGGAATTGGTAAATCAGTGAACGTTTAAATCATCCTGCTTATCTATCATTATTACAAATTTTAAAGGATTGCAAACTTATACATAAACTAGCAATCGAAACGTTAAACGAATACAGCAG